AGCTACTAGCTACGGATTGGAAGGTCAATCCTAGATGGTTTAAGATCACAGCTAATATCTATGGTCGAAATACTATAGATATGTTTGCAGCTCATGATACTGTGCAACTGCCGCGATACCAAACTCTGAAACATCCGGAAGGTTTTAGTATGCAGAATACTACCATTACGTTGTGTTGTCCCTTAAGACATTCAGATCAACGGCTCAACTAGTTGATCTCGATGATTCAATGTGAGCCAATACATGTGAATGGAGAGATAGATACTTTCCATTACCAGAGTACCCGTGCAGTCCAGAAGACGCATTGACGACATACAATACTGTGTCGAACAGGTCCAGGTGGAACAACGAAGTGGGCACAATCTGAAACCTTCAAATGTAAGGTTGAAGTAGAATTTATCACTACACGAATTTCGTTGGTCGATTCGATCAATAGTTCAACCATTTTTAAAAGCAACCATACTAAGGATAGCAGCCGGACCGCAACATAAGAGCCGCGCATTCCAAGACCCAAGAGAAAGTCTCAGCCTCTCAGTCTCTGTGTCTCAGCCTCTCAGGCCACATCCCAAAGTCAAACCAATATGCCAGAACGCAGAAGGGAGCTGTCCCGCAGCATCCACGCCACACCGCTTCAGAAGCAGCACTTCTTTTTCAAGAAAATCTCATGAGTAATGTTAAACTGCGAAATTGTGATGCCTATCCCTATACAGAAGATTATCCACGCCCGTTGTGATGCCTGTCACTGTACAGAGGATCGCCTATTCTTCAGAAAAGTTAACGTTTTCGGCAAATCTCATCGAGTAAACAATTTCAACAAGTCAACATTTTCAACAATTTCATCGAGTCAATACTCTAAGTCAACGTTTTTGACAAAAATCATCGATTCAACGGTTATCGCCCGATCCATCTACAGAGACAATAATTTCATAATCCAGGTCTTAAGTTTTCAGCCTTCAGCCTTCAGCCTTCAGTCTTCAGCCTTCAGCCTTCAGCCTTCAGTCTTCAGCCTTCAGCCTTCAAACTTCAGCCGTTGACAGTAAAATTGAGGGGGAGTGAGAGACTACAGGTTTCAGACCAGAATTTACAGCAAGAACCCCTCTTTGATATATGGAAGTCATCAAAGTTAGCTCACTCTCGAGAGCTAATCAGTTGCTCTAATTACTCCTGAGAGTTGAGATAATACTTGACCGACTCCCGAGAGTATATTAATTTTCTCAACCGACTTCCGGGAGTGGATTGAGTCTGCCAACCGCAATATTCTAAGAATAGCTGCGGTTCTATGTGAGTAACAACCTATGCGGAAAGGCATCATGTGTACAGCGTGAGATTTAGTTGTAGCGAAGTCGAAATAGAATAGCAACGAAGTGTTAAAGTGTTCTGCAGAAGGGGTTTCATACTGACCATATAAGGTTTTACCCTGGCCAGCCCAAGTGACTGAACACTAGCACAAACACCTTAGCTATCAAACCAAAGGTGAGGTCAGAAATACATTTGCACTTTATTTAGAGTCTACTACATTACACTCTAAGAGAAGAATCCAAGATTCCACTCTTGACACATGTGTCTCAAGCAAAGACCAAGGCGACACAAACAACTTCTCCCAAGTGCGTAACTTCATCTTAACCATATTCTGCGTGTCTTGACGATGACTACTACGCCGATCGACCAGATCGTTGTAACTGAAGCATTTCTCCACAAGTTGGAGCTGCCTACATCTAACCCTCTTCATCGTCATGGAAGATCCTTCGATACGCATACGCCTTCTTGTCATTGTTGCACCTTGCATTGTTGTTCCGTTTGTGCTAGTAAAATACTTTATGATTCTATCAGCCCAAACTGTAGCAGAGTGTTTGTTCATCAATTGTCGCCATACTTTTCTAATGACCCTCGCCGTCGAGCTTTTCCTTCTCAAGTACGGCGTTGGGGAACATCTTCGTTACTGTCTTAATCACACCTGTGAAATTCATGCCTCGGACTCGCAGAGCTTTCGCTGTTTGGAAATTTGCGAACCAAATGTCTTTATACACAGCTCTGTTCGTGCTGAAGTACTTCTCCACTAAACGCAGTTTAGTCGCTGTGCCCGTTTGGTGCTCATCCTCGTACGCACGCTCCGCGGCTTTGCCTTGATTTTGAGCAAAAACTGTCCATGGCTACAACACGCCGTCCTTTTACAACCTGGCTTCCTGTCAATTGTGATATAATGAGGTAACCCATAATTTTACCGCGAGACTCTAAGGTCGTACCATTATGAAACGCTTTCGTCTATACATATATGACAGCTCGCGAGTATGTCGTCCGCGAACCCCATCACCGGTGAACACCGGTGTTCTTGAGTATTGGGATTCTCCACATCCGTCGTCTGCTCTGCATATCTAAGACTTGAGTATATGTAATTAAACCTGTGTTCAACTATCCAGCACCCAAAGTTGTAAGGCGCATGCATTTTGAATTCGTGTTGTGTCTTTCTCCAGCAATCACCAGGTGAGGCAAATTCGATGAAGCAAAACTGCATTATGACACCGAAGAAGGTGAGTAACTCGCCGGGCGTGAGACTGTGTTAGTATTGTATTCGAGAGTGCAACCAGAGTTGTCAAATAACCCATGGGGAACATAGTAAAGAAGTACTGTAGTGTTTCACGCACCGACCATTTTGTGGTATATAAATTCCATGTTTCGCCGTGACCTTCCACGTATGTGTTTCAGGCCCCTTCCATCTGCATCAACGCTCTCCCATTGCCACACTTGACTATGTGCATTAACAGGCTCTCGATTGCCAATAGGTGTCTGTGGTTGTGCAAGTGCGTGCGTCAAATTCAACGGAGTAGGTGCAACTACAATATTGCTAGTTGATAATGTTCTATTGTGTCTGAGGGGGTTGGTGCTAATGTCTGTGAGGTTCGTTTGTGCCTGACGCAATAGCTGTATTTAAATACTTGCCTGAGGTTGTTGAAGAGTTTGCCCTGTAGTGGGTAAAGCATGTAGGGATGGTAAGGTATCCAGTTGCACATTTATCTCTTACGGGTCAGATCTTGTGCGCCAGTAGCCAAAGTATCGCTGTATTGTTCAGTACTATGGATCACACGCGTAATCTCCTGTGGTATTGCACTAGCATTAAGGTATTTCACTGTTGAAGAAGGTTCTTTAGCTATCACTGCCGCCGAACGATCTGTTCTCCGCTACTCTCTCAACAAAACAAAAAAATACACGTGGCGAGCTAGATACTACTACTGGAACGAGATCACTATCACTATTATTGTCAGGAGATAGACTGAATTGCTTCTGCTTCGTGTAACGCTCTCCATCAGTGCTGACGAATCCACTTACTTCTACCATTTTGTTAAACACTTTCGTTGATCCCGTCTTTGAAGAAACACTATTACGACCGGCATCACAATCGCGGGCGTGTACATCTTGCCATACTTACTACCAAATCGTGCCTGGGCATACCTCGCATCCATATGGTACCACTTAACGTTAACAGTGTTCCTTACCACTCTCTTAGCTGCTGCCAGGTCATTCTTAGGTTGCTTCTGAATCGTTTCTTTTACAACTACAGCGCTACCTATAGTTCCAAGTTGTGTACAAGTGCTTGTTTGAGCAAAGGTTTGTTCTAAGTGTTCCAGACATGGTATGGTCACGCGATGAGTCAGGAAAATTTCTTTACTATTGCTTACATTTGATTGGCTATTTAAAAGTATATGTCACCCACTCAAAAAAAGGGCGATTCGCTGTGCCGTTACCAGCCCGAATGGGCGATAAAAGCCCAATTGAGCTATAGAGGAGTATAAACACGAGCCTATGCGTGATTGAGTATGAGTTTGTGTTAAGTGCTGTGTACGTACAATACGTGTTCTGACGGTTTTGCATCTTGTACTCCTATAATATTCGTATAACAATTATTTGTATTTGTTTTTATAAGTTGCCTACATGGGCGTCTCAAATTAAGGGTTAGCCCCATGACACGGCAATTAGGGCATTTACTAAAAACTAGAGTCATTTCGAATCATACAGGGTAACCTGGGTTGGCAAAAGTCATAAATGTCGCCTGAAAAATTGTGTCTTTGTCGTGTTTTCAATGTCGTTTGATGTCTTGGTGTAGGACGTCGTCGTCCGGTCTATTTCTACTCAGTTGCAAGTGCAATAGGGCAGGTCAGTGGGACCATTAGGTCCAGCGTGAATAAACCATGAAGTACAAAGAAATTGAGGAAACTGGGACGATATAAATTTGCAAATGTCAAATGGTCAAAAAATGGGCGAAATCGCATATTTGTAGGTGCATTTCGTTGAAATCGTAGGTGCAAATAGCTGCTTCCATGTTCTTAATTTAAGGAACACGGTACTGGCATTGGTGTTCACAACACTGATTGGTTAGAGTTTTCTTCCCGAATAAAATCTTCTGTCATTTCACTCATTTAGAGACAAAAATACACTTGTCGGACATGTCTCCAGGGAAATTGTAGCGGAAACACGTCTCTTAAAGTCTTTTGGTCATAAGTCAATGTCTTTTACCAGCTTTCAGGGGTATCACTACCAAGGGTAGCTAGGGATACCCAGGATGAACACACACCTTAGTTCATATAAATGCTTCGAGTTATCTGGTCTGTAGCGTCGGGTACTTAAACAGAGCACAGTATGCTAGGCTCCTCTTTTTGGTTCGTTAAGAGTAGCCACCAAACTGACTGACATTTCAAAGGAATCAATTGTACTTCAATCCGGCGACAAATATTATAGGTAGAATATCACTCCGATTCTTTGACTAAGCTCAAAGAATGCCCACTTCATCTTGTATTCAGCCCTCGAGCAGGCTCTGGGCCCTGGGGGCGTTCTCGTGTTCACGCAAGCCGAACCAACATCTTTGAAAAGTTTATTTCTTTTGTCAAAAACTACTTTGCTTCTGGTGCTATCTAAATCTAAGTTTCAGTTTCTAAATTACAACCATGGCGGCCATATTGATTTTCAGACATGCCATGTTACGAGATGTGTATTGCGAAGTGTTGGCGCTAGATCTCATCACAGATTGCGAGGAGCTCGTCTAGCATCGCAGATTGTTGCTGTGAAGAACAAAGTTATTGACATGAGCGACAGCGATGCATATCGTGTATAGAAAAAATAGCGACAGCTATGCAAATCGTGTATAGAAAAAATTCTGACAGATGACACGCAGCTGGATAGACCGTATAATATCATAAAACACACATACTACCACATCGCACACGATCACAGGTGAATTATATCGAATTGATGTATAAAAAACATGGACGTGCCGCGCCAGGTCTCACCTGGTAAAACACCCTCTTCTCCAGCTTGAAGCTCGGTAGTCCAAGACTACCGTCTCCGCCTACCTGGTTGCTCTCTGTTCCCAATGAGCGAATATCCTGTGTGGCAGTCACATGGATACAGGAACGTGAGTTAGTATTGCAAGACCTGGAATGGTGCATGCTTGTACGCCAATCTATCTGCATGCGGCCGTCACATGGATATATGCGAGTCAGTTAGTATTGTAAGGCTTGAAATGGTGTATGCTACGGGCCAATCTAACTGCACACGACCTGCTGTTTTTAATGTTTACGTTTACGGATGTATACAGCACGACTGGACACTACTGCCAGTTCAATATACGACGAATACCATTCGATCTTTTCGCGACGACAATAAGGCCTACAAAAAAGAACTAGGACGGCTATGCTCCCAACACAAACGAAGTTAACCAGGTTTAATGACAATACCTGCGCCGTCTGTGCCTCCGTTTCGAGTTGCGAGACTCTGGCGCGAGCTTCCCTCAGCTCATCATCTTTAATTGCTAGCTCGTTCCGAGCTGCAAGCAACTCTTGACAGACCTCGCCTAATTCGTCGGAAAAAACCTATATTATGGCATTGGGGCAAATTATTGAGTCAGACATATATATATATATATATATATATATACATGTATACATATAAGTATGGCGTTTCCAGCATAATTTGCAAGCCAAATATGAGTGTCTACAATAAAGTGTCCAGCAAAGTCGTCTGTTGTGATGAGCAAAGTCGTACCCGCATCACAACGGGACACGAGGAGATAGATTAAGCACAGAATGTACAGCTTACAAATCAAATTCACACCTCACATCAAGAAAGGATCAGATACCCAATTATGTACTCTGTAATAATCGACCTGTGCGGCAAATACAGGCGTGGACAAAATACATGATCAAGCTGTTTGAACTCGATACACGCGCATCCTACGATCTTCCAGCCTGCCTAGCCTCTCACACACAGCTACACAACAAATCGTACCTGTGTTTGCAGATCTTGGATGCGTGCCTGTAGGTCTGTATTGACTGTATTTAAACCCGCAATCTGTTCCTGAAGGTCGGCGAGTTGAGCCTCGGCGTCGCTGCGCGTACTGTTGGTCTCTGGTTTTTGAGGGCGCATTTCCTAGGGTAAACAGACAAAGTATTCTAAGATTTTAGCGTATTTCGCAAATAGTGGTTAAATTGAGAGTATAGGGTTTTAGAATCCAGGGGATGAGACGACTCAAGTGCCGCTATAGAGCCAAACTTTAGTGTTGGTCGCCCGACAGGCTACCTACACAATGTGCGTGCACGCGTACGTATGCAGTACGAGTGAGTCTGTGTGTGAGCCTATTCCCGATTACCGAGTCTGTACAACCATGAGTTATTGCTTCAAGTTAGCAGTGCCAAGAATTGGGCTATCAGAAATATAATGATTTTTTTTGCAGTAGAAACACAGAGTAGACACTACACAATCAGACTACCTGCGCTGTCGCTGCCACACTTTCGAGTTCTGAGATTCGGGCGCGAGCGTCCCTCAGCTCTCCGTCCCTGTGCGCCAGTGAGGTCTGAGCTGCCAAGAACTCTTGTTTAACCTGGTCCAATTCGTCGGGGTTCGTCTAATTAAAGATTGATGATATAAATCAATAAGTTAGAAAAATATACGGTAGTGGGTTAAGTTGTCTATAAGAATATAGCGGATCCAGGTATATCAATGAATCAGAATCGCACATCTAAGTGACACAGTGCGCAACGAAACCGTTGCTGGTTAGAGAATACATCTGCGTCAACGAGAAACAGCTCACACCACTGCAACAGCATGAACTAACGACATGGGTGCCGCTAACGAGCAGCGTGCATAGTTTAAGACAACTCACAGATAGCAACGAACAAGGTCGCACAAAACCGATAAAATATGATAGGGGTTAACGGTTTGAGGCGGATACCGACGTGTACGGTTCATATGATCCGACAAATCGAGCATAACACCAACGCCTCTTGTACGAGACCAACAGCAAAGCTCTATCACACAGATAAACTACGATGTTTACCTGTGCTCACATTTCTTGTATGCGTGCTTGAAAGTACAGAACAGCTAACCAATAAAGTATACCTGTGCTTCCAAATAGTGTATGCGTGACTGCAAGTCAGCATTGGTTGCCTGCAGATCCGCAACTTGTTCCCGAAGTTCGGCAAGCTGGGTCTCCGCGTCACTGATATTGTTATCGACCTCTGATTGATGTTGTTGGTGCACCGCCTAGTAGCAGCATGTAACGGGTTTTATAAATTTATAGAAGTAAGGGTTTAGGGCGCAGAGACTTCTGATTTAATGGTGTATGAAATGTGACCCGACTAGAGATACATAATCACATCGTTGGTACCGTCAGCCCGACACACTACTTACACTTGGTTTGATTGACGCATGTATGCGTGAACGGATATATATACAGCACTAACACTATACTACGCCATACTACACTACAGATAATAAATATATATATATACTAGTATACAATAACAGCATCACCATAATTATACTATCAGCAGCACACTACCAACCTACCTGAGCTGCTGCTACCGCACTTTCCAGTTCCGCAACCATAGCACGAGCCTCACTTAATGCCGCGTCTTTATTCGCTAGTTCATTGCGAGCTGCCAAAAGTTCGACACCGAGCACATCCGATCCGTCGGGATTGACCTGAATATACAGTGGGTGTTGGAAAATGAGATATGAAACTCTATAGGGTAAGATTAGGGATACACAAAATGCTGTACGATAGAAATCAGGATGTATCAAGCGCTGTAGGTGAACAGTTGGTCAATGTGGTATATGATAATGGCAGCGTGAAATGAATCTCTCGACTATCTCGTAGTGTTACTACATGTAACAGCGCAGAATGAACGTTGTGTCCACAGGTGTACATATCAAACCACACATTTAACAGAAAGATACTCGACCAATATATGGAGTATAAAACCCGCAGACAAGTACATACACGACCCGCAACCAAGCACAAACACCCAACAAACAACACTCGAGACTTTGTGGCTAGTGCAGCGTGAACAGACGGACACCTCAACCGTTACACACTGCCCATACTACTGCAGTTAGCCAACTCGCCTACAGCACGGCTGCCCAGTCTTTACACAGCAGCCAGTCTTTACAACACTCCGCATACCTGTCCTTCCATATGCTGTATGCGCGATTGTAAGTCTGTGTTGGCCGCTTGCAAGTCCACAACCCGCTCCTGCAGTTCCGCGAGATGCACGCTTTTTTCAGCGTTCTCCGCCAACGCCTTGTCGCGTGCTGCGCGCATCTCAATCACTTCAGCGTCAGCGTCTACCTTTGTCGATCTCATCTAATCAGGAGTGAGATATCGAGCGAGTCAACAGGCCGTGTGGAGTGTAAGCGGGCGATAAGATAATATAGCACCTAATATATATATATATATATATATATTTAAGTATATACAGATGTATCTATATATGTCTATGTCTATGTCTATGCCTATATATATATAAATATAAATATATACATGACATACACGTAGAAATGTCAGCAATACGAACAAATATATAAAGTCAGCAATAGAGAGAACATACTCGTTCTAGCAACGTATCAATACTCTCCACCCCATCCGTAGTCGCCTGGCTCAGCAGCTCTTCTAGATCGTCATACTCCCCCTGCGCCTGTGCCCGTTCCAGGAGCCGTTCAAGGCACTGGTCGTATTCCCCGTCGCTGTCGTCCATGGAGACGTTATAACCCCCTGCCATACTCTCTGCATCTACAGGGAGACTCTCCCCCACAGCCTGGTTATCCAGCCCGGCTGAGACATCCGTATCCATGCCCAGTGGGTGCTGAGTGCGGGTAGACTCCTGTTGCGACAAAAGGTGCACTTGCTCAGGGTTTCCGAGTGATTGCTCGCCTTCCGCTGGACTGGTCTGTAGGTCCTCCAGACTGATGGTTAGTTGGTCGTCTGCGTCCTCTAGCGGTGGCGACAGCGCGCGTGTGTGGGGTTCTTTGGTTGAGTGGGTCGGCGGTGCGTCAATCCTACTACGCATTGTCCGCAACTGCCCAGGCCGTGGGAGGAGTTGGGAGTTTAGGATTAGAAGTGGATATTAGGATTGGTATGAAACCGAGGGGTTGTAGTGCGAGGATTGGTTAATGCGCTTGGGACGTGCCAATCGTACTGTCCACAACTTCTTAGACCATGGGAGGATTTGAGAGTTTTAGGATTTGAAGTAAATATTCGTATTGTATGATATCAAGGGGTGGTGATTTTGAAGTATAGTTCGAAGCTTGGGTATGCGCTTGGGGTGTGCCAATCGTACTGTTCGCAACTGCTCAGGCAAGAAAAGTGACTGATCTTTTGAATTTAAATATCAGGATTGAAACCAGGTCTTAGGATTGGAGATAAAAAGAGGATGTGGGCTTTATGGTATACAAGAAGGATTGGGTGTGCGTGTATGTCATTGGGTTTAAAGCGAACAGCACAACTAGCAACGCACATGCATCTCATTGGGGCTCGATATAAACTCAATTTACGGATAAATATGTGTAAACCATATCCATACATAGACATCAATAAACCTAATCCATGGATAAGCATGGATAGACCCGATCCATGGACCAAAATATTTATAATTCCAATCCAGGGACAAAAAGATTCATAAACCCAATCCATGGATAACCTCGCAACCAGGCCCTGTACCTGTTCCCGCAGCGTAGCCATTTCGTTAAGACAGTCCTCCAGCCTTGGCTTGAGTTCCGACAGTTCGGCATCTTGGTCCAGGCACTGGTCTTCCAGTTCTTTGACGTTGGTTCTGAGTTCGTCCAACTACGATGCATGCATAGAGTGCGCGTTGGTTCGGTTGCTTAGCTGATTAGTACTAAGTGTGCCAAGGAGCCAATCCAGCGAAAAGGTATCGAGACATGCCACGCCACATGGGTATAAGGCTGTATTACAAAGCATTACAATACAAGCCCACCCAGCCACCTACTTTGCAGATATACGAAGAAGTGCATACGAATACAACACTGCACCAGTAGAGTACAATAATACAACGCGCGATATACATAACACACCTCGCTAGCGCGTTCGGCCAACTCGTCTTCTTTGGCTTCCAGCTTGGCCGTTGCATCCACCTCGCCCTCGCTACGGCAATGGGTGAGACATCCAGGAGAAGTGTGAATAATATATCGTATTAAACTTTGAGATAGGATTTTCGGTAGAAGTAAGTGGTGGCAACATGCCCTCTATAGGTCAGAATGGTTTACAATTGCCAGAGTGATGTGATTAGTGCGAATATATACCATCACATATCACCGATGTGAGTATGAACAAACAAACACAAAAAATTAATAAAACATCCACTACACTCACACACACACAACACCTACGTTGCCAAAGCAAGCATTTCTGTAACCTCCTCAAGCTCGTCGTCGCGTTCGGAACGGAGCGTCTCGACATCGGCCTCAGCTGTGCGTAGGAGACTATCGCGTGAGTCCAATTCGTGTTGCAGTGACTGTACTTCAGCCTCGAGTTCCACTATGCGGTCCTCTTTGTCTACCAACGCGTCTGTGAGCATAGCCTCGGATTCTCTGGGAGGTGGGAGGAGGTTGTGGGGAAAGAGTAGCGGTAGTTAGACAGCGTGTCTTGGATACGGCACGGTATGTATTTGTAGTTGTGTGTAAGTGTGCTTGTATATATATCATGTGTATATACGCCAGGTATGCTTCTACATACACGATAGTGGTGGACTATGGTTGGCGATGGTAGAATGCACATTGTACTTGAAAGGGTTTATGGTATTAAGATATGTGTGAGTTTTGTGCAAGCGTGAAATCGAATACTGAGCTATGACACGACAATACCGGCTGTGATACACACTCGCAACTCATCGGATATGTTCAAATATATATGGGGATACCTAAGTGCTGATGTGCCTGATATATATATATATATATATGAACATAACATACATACATACATAATACAACAAACATACATATACATAAACAAGCAATACGCCCGGGTTGCACCAATAAGCTATGGTATACCTGGAGATTTCCTGCTGCTGCTGTGCCTGAGCCAATTCCTCGCCCTTGTCGTTGTCGATCACATCTAATTGCTCCTCCACGGTAGAGAGGTTTGACTGCAGTGTTTTGATCTGCTCATCCTTCTCCTGCAAGGCTGCTTGTAGCTCACCCTCCGTTTCCCTGGTAGAAAGAAAGGCCAGGAGAATTGTGATTAGTAACCGAGGCCTAGGGTGCGGTTGCCATGTGCTTGTGGCCCTGACCATACCACGGTACACAAGGTGCTGTGTAGTTATATATATATATATATATGGCAGATCTTTGGATAGATCCGATGGGCATATCCTGAAGTATCTAGACTTAGTTAGGGGTTTGCCGACACATACAGCATATATACCGAACGCTGCAGACTTCAGCACACCATCACAACCGATCTAAGGGTATGAGGTTTAGAGTTTAGACCCTAAATCACCTACATCCCAAGAGACATTCCGACGATACCTGGAGTTGTCCAGCTCCTGATGTACCAAGGCCAGTTGCTCGTTGAACTCCGACTCTTTTGCTTCGGATTCATCTAGCAGCTCTGCGAGAGTAGCCTCCATGCTCCTTAACTCCTCGTCCTTGTCCTCTATAATCTCTTGCAGCCGCGTCTCCGACTCTCTGGGAGAAGAAGGAGGTAAGTGTGGATGTGTGCATATGTGTTGATATTCAGTCACCATCTAATTGATGCAAGAGTATATATATAGACAAATAAGTATATCAAAGGTGTTTTCAGATAAGCGTATATATATCAGTCAATAGAGCTATACTCAACAAGAACACAGTATCCATACACAATATATATATATATATATATATATATACATATATATACAACGATACGTATATATATGAGGAAATATCTATGTATACAAATAAGCAGATACAAGCAAAATATGTTTTAGGATTTAATGTTTCCAACTATGCCCAGATCACCACACAGCACACAACATCTACACCATAAGCACCAACCAGTACCTTGCCACATCGAGGTCGTGCTGAGACGATGCTCGACTCTCCAAACGCTCACTGTCACGTGCTAAGAGCTCATCTTGTTGTTCCACCACATTCTTCTCCAGCACACGGATTTGATCGTCTCTGTTCTCCAGTGAAACGTTTAGCGCTGCGTTCAATTCCCTGTAGGATACGTGAGAAAGTGATGGGTTGATAATAAGTAAATATATATATATATATATGCATATACATATACATACACACACACACACATATATATATATATATATAAATATATAAGAGGAGATGATCAATTTCTCAATATGAGAAAGTGATGTATCTGATCATGTTAAATAAGTCATATTAAAACCCTAAACCCTAAAAATTCTTCAATAACTGCGCGAGTAGATAAAGTGTTCCAACGTGGAGGTACGGTTAAATAAAATTTACATTGCCTTATATTGTTCAGTTTCCAAGGGGATGTGTGTGAACTCGCTGTCCGGTTGATACGCAATAGACCAGTGAGCTTAGTCCGAGTACATGCTCAGCTGCAGTACAACGGAGTAGTTCCACTTTCTCGCTATTCTTGACCTATATATACAGTGGCTTCTAGAGTGCAAGATGGGAAGCGATAATATCCCATACCCAGCCAAACTTCCATAAATCAAATCGTCACATCAGCTTTGAACACCAAACATACATGTATACAGTTGTATCTGGGAGAGCTCACTCTTCTCGATCCTCGCAAAAGGATTTATACATTTCTAGCCGAAGACACAAAGACCCGTTTACTGCACAACACACATACATCCTACCTACTAATACTAAGCACACACCAATAACAGATATGTCACACTACTAAACTCACACCTATACACATATATCACACTACTAAGCACACACCAATAGCAGACATATCACACTACTAAACTCACACCTATACACATATATCACACTACTAAGCACACACCAATAACAGACATATCACACTACTAAACTCACACCTATACACATATATCACACTACTAAGCACACGCCAATAACATACATATCACACTACTAAACTCACACCTATACACATACATCACACTACTAAGCACACGCCGGCACACATACCGTAACACCTCCAACTCGTGCGCAAACCTAGCCAGCTCCTCCCTCAGCCTCTCCTCACCAGCCACCCCTCTCACACTCTCCGACGCCTTTGTGGCACTGTCTCCGGCTCGCCCAACCGACGTGTCCACAGACGGTTCATGCGATCCTACATCCACCCAGCCCTCACTCCCCGCATCCCACTCAGGCGTACTATCTTCATACACAGCTGCGTCGATTGGATTGAGTGACGCACTATCCTCCCCGTACCCAGAGGTGCAGACCGTAGTACTACCATCCCCAGACCCCGGCGCGTTGACATCGGTCGTATCGTTAACGTATTCGAGGGCGTCTCCAGGGACACCTGCAGCCCCTTCAGGGATACGAGTCTGGTCTTCTTCGTCAGGCTGTGCTACAGCACTGACACCATCGCTCACCGAGCTTGAGGCAAAGTAGCTAGATAGGCTCGTACCCTCCCCTGGTGTTTCCGCTGCCGCCGCTGTCTCTGGGGCCAGTTCTACTGTCTCGTTGCTATGCCAACCGTCCCCTTCCGCTTCCCACCCGTCTTCCATCTGAGTTGTCTGGGTGTCTAAGGCGTGTATAGATGTCTCGTCATGCACAGCATCACTCATATCCACCGCATTTTCCACCCTCGGTTGCGCCTGTACTCCCGCACTCTCTCCCGTGTAGTTCGATGAGTTGGTATCGGTGTAGTCTACGATGTTACCCATGGCTGCATCCGTACTTGAGACCATATCCACAGCGTCTTCACCGCCCCAACCCTCACCCTCTGCCCCCCGCCCGTCATCTGCCTGAGTCGGTAGTACCGTTTGGTCTGTAAGTGTCTCAGGGGCATGCGCTGTCACTGTGCTGGTAGCCTGCTGTGCCTGTATCCCTGCTGTGTTTCCGAAGTAGTTGTACGTGTCGTCATTGATCGCCTTATCTGGTTTACCGACTAGCCCATGTACCCCCATACCGTTGCCATAGTAACCGGACACGGGACTAGAAGTCGATGCATCTGCAGCATCATCTGGCTTCTGTGCACCTGCACTAAAGCCAAAGTAGTTAGCCATACTGTTACTTTCCGCAGTATCCGTGCTATCCTTCTGCACAGTCACCCCTGAACCCTCGCCGAAATAACTGGACATGTCGGCATGGCCCGTTGGTTCTGGGTTGGTACCCTGTCCCTGCACCTCGGCACCTGTTCCGAAGTAATTGGACATGTTGTTGGGTTTGTTGTTGTCCGCTGGAGCCTCTGCAGTCTCCGTAGTTGCGTTTGTACCGAACAGCCCTTCACTTTGCTGAGCCCCGGAAGCCTGGCCAAAGTAACTGGACAGGTCGGCAGTATCCGGTGCACCCGCCACACCTCCCTGCGCCTGTACACCGACATCTCCCCCAAAGTAGTTGGATATGCTAGTACCAAGTGCCGGGGGTTCTACTGCTGCTTGGATGTCGGCACCCATCTCCACTGTCTCTGCCTCATCCCAGCCTTCCGCTTCCCATCCGTCCTCTGCCTGGGCGGCCGGCGTCTGCGAGTCCAATACGTCCACCTCGTTAACCACGACATCCGTAGTACTCGGCTGTGCTTGCTCCTTCACTCCTCCACCCTCTCCAAGTGAGTTCGGACTGTAGATGTCCTCCGCTATGCCTTCCACGGTCACCTCCGTATCTGGGGCTACCTCCACTGCGTCGTCCTCACCCCACCCCTCACCTTCCGCTTCCCACCCGTCTTCTGCCCGGGCTGCTGATGTCTCCAGAGTCTCCGAGTGTTGTACTTGTGCATCTGCATGAATTGTGTCCGTATCGTCCGTTTGCGCTTGCTCGGGTACGCCACCACCATCTCCTAATAAGTAGGCGCTGGTACTACCCTCCACTGGAGTTTCCGTGGCTGCTTCTGTATCTGGGGCTACCTCCACTGCGCCGTCCTCACCCCACCCCTCGCCTTCCGCTTCCCACTCGTCCTCTGCTTGAGCGACCGACTTCTCTGAATCCAATGCATACACTTCGTTAATTACGGCTTCTGTATTATCCGGGTGCGATTGCTCTGGCCCACCCACCCCGTCTCCAAAGTAGTTGGACATGTTCGTACTCTCCACCGAGGGCTCCTCTACTGTTTTCGTATCTGGGGCTATCTCTACCCCGGCACCCTCTTCATCCCATCCCTCGCCCTCCGCTTCCCATCCGTCTTCTGTCCGAGTGGTCTGGGCCTCTGCATCGGTAGTATCCGTATGCTCCATGTGTGCCTGGCCTTGCTCTCCCATCCCATCTCCAAAGTAGTTGGACAAGTTCGCACTCTCCACCGAAGGCTTCTCTACTGTTTGCGTATCTGGGGCTATCTCTACGCCGGCACCTTCTTCATCCCATCCCTCGCCCTCCGCTGTCCATCCGTCTTCAGCCTGGGTGCTGGGCGTCTCCTGATCTTGTGACACCCTCTCCTCCTGTGTAGCAGCAACAGCCCCATCCTCACTCGTCTCTGCAGGCGCATCGTCCCCTTCATTGGCATGGCTCACACTCTCACCATACACACTAACGGTCTCATAGCCACTTGCCTCGGATATGCCCTCTGTCTCTGCACCGTCCCCATCCCAAGCCCCTTCGTCCACACCCCACCCGTCTTCGCCCTGGGCGATGGGGGTGTCTACCACGAGCGCGTTCTCGTCTGATCTCACATCCTTATCTTCCGCCGTGGCCTGCGCAAACATACTGTCAGCCGCACTGGTAGTACCCTCTCCAACGTAGCCGGATACCCCTTGATCGCTCGCCGGGGGCTCTGGCGGTGTCTCAGTAGTTGGTGCCACGTTCTCACTGTCCACCTGACCCCACGTGTCTGTGTCTGGCACATCCCATCCACTCTCCGCCGTATCTGCAGCGGCAATGCTGTGCGTGGCCTCCCCATCCCCATCCGACTGGTAGGTATCCACAGCGTGTGGCAGCTCTCTTTCCCCTGAGCCCTCCATATCTACACTGCCCCCAAAGTAATTCGACAGGTTCGTATCAGTGCCGGGCGTCTCCGCAAGTGCTTCGGGGTCTGCCGCCATCTCCATCTCACCCGCATCATCCCAGTTGTCCCCGTCTGCTTCCCACCCGTCCTCTCCCTGGTTCGCCAGTCCCTCTGCCTCGTGTCCGAGTGCGGCGCCGGTCTGGACTTGACTACCCTCCCTCACATCCGCAAACACACCCGTATGATCCTCGCCCGACTTCTCGCCAAAGTAACTGGAGAGCCCACCGGCATGTCCTGTGGGCGCGGCAATCGTCTCAGTGGCAGACCCCGCGTCCAGGGACTGCATGTCATTCTCATTCTCATTCGCCCTTTCATCTCCCCAGGTGTCCTCGGTCGTATCCCACCCATTGTCGGCCGGTGCACCCGCGTCCGTACTCTGCGTATGCGCAAGCGCGTCGTCTGCGGAAGCATGAGTGCTCACAGGTGCCGCAGTACTGTCCTCAGCTGCGCCCGCCTGTGCACCGTTATCCACGGGGTATGCTGAGTGCTCGCTCTGTCCAGGGACCGCTTCTGTGGCTGGCTGATTCTCCACAGTTGCATCCAATACGTTTATAACGTTTTCCGCACCGGGACCGTCTCCAGTATCAGTGGGCAAAATAATTTCCTCTAACTCACTCTCACCAGCTACAACATCGTCCACTTCATCGACGTTGTCTCCGTTGACCGTCCAATCTGTCGAGTCTGCGCCATCTCCATGCTTCGCATCTGCAGTCCCCTGGTGCTCTAGAGCCGAGCCATATACACCATCAATGTCACGTTCGCTCGCATTGTCTCCGTTGGTTGAAGATAACGAAAAACTATCGTGCGTATCTCCCATGACTTCACCATGCTCGGCTCCCTGAACACCGCTCCCAAAGTACGAGGAGACGTCGTTCTTTTTCTCAGTCGAATTCTCCTGGGTGTGTGACAGTGGCATGGCTAGGTCAGCAGCAGCTTCCACTTCCAGGCCATCGTCATCGCTCCACTGCGCGTCTTCCGTTCCCCACCCGTCCCCATCCGTTTGTTCCAGGTCACCAGTACCGTCATTCAGCGCACCCTGCCCAAGGGATACCGGCACACTGTCTTCTTCTACAGGATAATGAGAACTTACTTCTGCCTCAAACTGTCCGGTGCTTGTACCAGCCACAAGCTGTTCGGCACTCTCGTCTACTACAGGGAGTTCAGGAGTTCCTTCTGCTACAACACCGGCACCTTCATCTACTGTAGTATGTTGAGCATTTCCCTCAGCCCCGACTTGGCCAATACTTTCACTCTCCTCAGCCACCGGTTGCTGCGCAGCACTCGCGCCCCCCACAAGCTCTCCAGACGTCTCCTCAGTAACAGACGACTCGGCATCCGCTTCTCCCTCATGATGTTCGGTACTTTCTCCACCCAGAAGGTGTTCTGTACTGTCCTCAGTCTCCTCAGGTACCTCCACAGCGCCCCCGTCGTCCGAAGACACCTCCAGCATGTACGCGGCTTTGTCCGTGCGGATACCGTCCGATAGCTGCAGGCTGTACTCATCTCCCCACACATCGCCATCCTCACCCCACCCATCCTGCGCTTCATCTGTCAGATCCATAGCATAAGCCTCTTCTTCCTGATCTTGATCCTGTATCTGCACCGCTGGCTCTTCGGGCGGGGTTGTCTGGTCGTGTACTTGGTTCTCATCGCGTGCTTGGCTATCGTCTTCTACTTCAGCTTCGGCATATTCTTCTCCCTTGGCGTCAGTATAGTCTGCTGTTTGACCTTCAGTAAGGTCTTCTCCTTGAGCTCCATCTGCTACCTCCATCTGCAGCATACCATCCTCCATCTCAGCGTGGGTCCGGGAGGTGTCATTCTCCAATGAATGTTCTCGTTGTTGCGCATATGCATTGTTTCTACTCTCTCCAGACGCCTCTATCGTATCATCATTCATATCTCCTCTCATGCCATCATCCAGATCTTCTTGTGTGCCTGCCAATGCTTCCGTAGACTGCTCAGCAACGCTTCCGGAATCCTCCGCATACACCTGTCTTACAGTACCATCGGCCGCACTTACACCCATACTATTGGGCTTATCGCCTACAACATCGTCAGCTGCACCCGCACCCATACTTTGGGCTGAATCTACCCCATCCACATCTACCTCTGTACTCGGTTCCTCTGTAGCTTCCAGTGCGTCTCCATCGCCCCAATCCGAGCTCTCGGCACCCCAGCCGTCGTCAGTTTGGGCCGACTCGTCATCCCAGCCATCGTCTGCTCGTGCCATTTCTTCACTTACTTCTTGATCTACGTGTCCACTTCCCTGCTTTGTAACAGATTCATCGATTAATTAGTCCACTGGAATTGGGTCAAAGTCGGTTCCAAATCAATTGGTTAATTAGGATGAGTCATGTGAAGTGGATCCAATTGCCTGATTAGTCCCAGATGTATTTGAGTCGTCTGAGGTTCAAGTCATGTGGTTCAATATACCTGAGTTGTACTAGGTTCTATTGCGAAACTGCTCCGGCGTCATACAACACAATTACCTAGAAGCAATACAAGGAATCTGAGTCGTACCAGAGTCAACTAGTCCACTGCAGTTGTCTAAGTTGTACTACAACCAATTGAAACACTAACCCGTCGTATAGGGTCAACTAACACAAGGACTCGACTAGTTCGTATGTATTTCTGTATGTATGTAGAATGTATGTATGTATGTATGTATGTATGTATGTATGTATGTATGTATGAATGTATGTACGAATGTATGTATCTCTAGTCTCAGTCGTACTATGCAGGTTCAACGCGTCCCATACCTGGCTCGTAGTGGGCGCATCTGCACCTGTACTCAACGGTCCAACCGCAGTCGTAGCAGACGGTTGAACCGCAGACGAGTTTAAAGAGGGCGCGGTGTTATGACTACCCACACTATAGCCTTCCACTTCCTTATGACTGCCCACCTCCAAGCCTCTCGCAGCGGGATGTTCCTCACCATCACCCCCTGCACCAAGGTGAGCGTCCTGTGACTGTGCTGGAAAGGTGTCCAGAGCGTCCACACTACCCCATCCCTCATTCTCCGCTTCCCATGTATTTTCAGCCACTGGTGCGTCTGCACCCTCCCCGTTCTCGGCTGCCTGGTCTAGTACCAAGCTCGGCTTTCTCGAACCAAACCCGGCCAGGTCCAAGCCCTGGTTCGCCTGTGACGACCCGTACCCAACCTGGTCTAATCCCGGGGGTACTAGTGGCCTAGCTATAGGTTGGCCTGTCTGTGCCACAAACGACTCACTCTCACGTCTCTGTGGCTCGGTCATAGCCGGTGTGTACATCTTACCACTCGGCGCTTGCTGCTGCTGAGCGCCGTAGTCATGTACATTCCCAACCGCCGGCTCGTTTTGTACCGAGCTGTTTTGCGCAGGCGACTGGCTACTATATGCAGGCGTGTCCCCAGACGCAGTACTACCAGGACCACTACCTTGGCCTTGGCCCTGGTCCCACCCCGTGCCACTCCCATACAGCCCAAACCGTGCCGCGGGTGTGCTGTCCAGGGCAAACGGCGCAAAGATGTTGTTCTGCGGGTACGCAGCCTGGCCTCCAATCCATCCGCTCGGCTGTCGTATCTTGGCCTGTCCCAACTGCGCCGTCAGATGGCTGGGCTGAGCCGAGCCGTGTGTGTTCGTGTCCGTATCCTCGCGCAGTGTGTCTCCGATACAGTCTTCGTTGAGCTGGCGTAGGTCCGGTAAGGGCAAAGGCATGTTCTCGGCTGTGCCGCCAATGCCTGCGGCACCGCCAAAGCAATTGATCAGATCGCGATCGCACGTCTCGACAGCCAGGTCAATGGGAGAGAGCCCTTTCTTGTTTCCTGTGGGGTGTGGAGCGAGATATGGGGGGGGGGCTTTAAGGTTTAGAGTTTGGGATTTGGGATTTCCACTTAGGGGCTATCAGCACGGGAAGAGACCGTCCAAGGTGAGTCAACGCACACACTTGTGAGAAGTCGCATCAGAGCACAGGTTCTCATACACCTTGTACATATAATAAAGATGCTCATATAGAATTCACCTATCCTCGGCTGCGACGGGAATGAGGGGGTTGGTTCGAAGCCATTTGTCCAGAGGGTGAGTCATGAGCACCAATCTGAATCAGAGCCCATGCGCAATCCTACTTATAAGACTAACTGCGATCTAAGCTTCACAGCGATGCCTGCCACATAGGATCATTCGGGCGAACATGAAAGGAAAACAGGACTACTAGCAATCCACACATCTAGGACGACTTCATTCCTCACAGACGATGTTATTCAGCTATAAGACGGGGTACATTAAGAATCCTCTGAAACTTGTATACAGACGGCTGCAAACATCGGCCTGTATCACGTTGTGCGGATCTGGGAGTGCTCCAAGGCCAAAGACAGATGCAAGTGCTAGGCGATGACTTATAGGACTGCCGCGCCTCTACATATTGAAGAGTATATATTTATACATAAGGCAAAGTGAATCTTACACATCGACATACTCATTTGAGGGTTGGCGTGATTGTCCAACAAGAGCTTGGCCATTTGGATATGGTGCTTCATCACAGCCCTGTGCAACACTGTATTCTTCTGTTTGTCAAGGGCATTGATTCGGGCTCCTGCATCCAAGAGTGTCTGGACAGCGTCCAAACTGATACGATGTAGGTAGAAAAGTATTCAGATAAGCAAAGGAATTTAAACTATATGTAGATGCTTGATAAATGTTATTTGAAGAACTGATGGGGTAAAAAAACTATCATAGGCATGAAATAAGGGACATACGACACTATTTGAGGTAGTGGAGGAGATGTTAACCTATTAAAAGGTTCACATGAATGAATAAAAGGATATAACAGTCTGCATATATGTAGCCCACTGCGATCGTATTGGTGAAGAGTGTAGTAGGAATCAATTGAGACTACAAGAACATAGTCAGCAAATCAAATGTATATTTATCCATACACAGTATGCATGTACTCAATCGAAGACACAAACTATCAGCAACTTGAATATACACTTTCGAGCTCGAAAATGTTTCAACCAAGCTATCCACGGTTCAAGTGTGGTACATGCGCTGTTCACGAAAATATGGAATACATGGGAATGCGAGATCAATAGCCGTAAACTTAGTATCTGAGGCAGATTGCACCGTTTATCAATTTGGATAAAACGTGCCAGGATGTCGTACAGAGAAAACGTTAAGGCCTCTCCAAGTTACAGCGATCTGAGAAACACTTAAGGGGGCAAGTGTCGGGAGTATTTCCATCCTCTGAAATTTTCAAATACACATTATTATTGAGGACAGGGTATAAATATATATATATATATATATATAGACACACACACACATATATACATATATATATATATATATATATATACAAACATATATTTATATATATATATATATATACGTATGCATATACACAAACATACACACATATACTATACATATACAATATATATATATATATAAATATATGTATATGTAAATACGTATGCATATACTCAAACATACACACATATATTATACATATACAATATATATATATATATACATATATATATATAATATATACATATATATATATATATATGCGTGTGTGTATATAAGTTTTGTAAGTATTCCTATAATTACATCTATATATATTACTTATACGTATATAAACAATATATATGCATTCCTATAGGTACATGTATACACACTCATATGTATATATACACCAATAAGCACATATGGATATATACATACACACACACACACACACACATATATATATATATATATACATACATATATATATATATATATATATATATATATATATATATATATATACTATATATATATACTATACGTACGTACGTACGGT